ACAAGCTCGTTGGAAATGGGATCAGAGATCGAGGCGCAGTCCCTGCACCACAGAACATCTTCGTCAGACGCCGGCAAGCTGGGAATGGGTGTAAACAAGCTGGGAGTGAACCTCTGCCAGTGCTCGCGTATGGCCACCCAGAGAGCGTTGATGTCGACGTAGTCCGGTTCGTAGAAGTACTCCGGCTCCTCCTTCTTGGCCTTCTCCTCCTGTCCTCCCTTCGCCGCGCTCTCCCCAGCGCCAGTCTCCGTAGTGTCAGCCGTCTCTCGCTCCTCTGGCTCGACAGGACTCTTCGCCTCCTCCTGCTCCGCTTGCTGGTGCTCATCGCCAGTATCGTTGGCCGCTTTTTCCTTCCCCTTTGCAGCCTTCGCCTTGGCGCTGGGCTTCTTCGAAGTTGAGCCTTTGGGCCTTCCTCTGCCTCTCTTCACGACTTGCGGCTTTGGAGGCTCGCCTTCTTCGCCTTCGTTCACCATTCCATCAGCCGCCGCCGCCACCACAGCAGGCTGAGGTTTCTCTTCCTCAGTCTCAACGGCCTTCTTGGCATCATTCAGTCGGAGGTAGATCTGTCATGGCGAAGACCTAACTTCGGTGAGCCTTTGATCAGAGAGAGACAGCCGCGTCGTAGACAGAGGGACCAAGAAGGAGGCGCCGTACACGCGAAGTGGGAAGCCCCGTGGCCGGGTCCAGACGAAGTGGCGTCCCGCCAAGCAGAATACGAATCAGATCTGAGTCGATTGAGTTGACCTGCATTTAGGCACAACGGTTAGGCCATCTTTTCGATGAAGGACGCCCGACAACAGGTTCACGTCTTACGCACCAGAAAGTTCTCCGTGGGGAACACGTAGTTGATGTAGAAAGGGATCTTTAGGTCCGACTCCCCGATGTAGTTCCGCCATTCTGGCTTTTCGCACACCTGAACATGTTGGGCATAACAACCCCAGATGACAGCCAAGTAAGTCAACTATTAACTACAAGTTCGAGCGTAGGCAAGTAAGCAGACCTTTCCAGATGAGTAAATGACATATGGGTTGGGTCCATAGCGTGTGCCGCCGTCGATGACGAGAGACTTGAGCCATTCTCTCGGCATCTTCTTGCCACCTTCCTTGCTCTGCTGCGCAATGTCGGCGTGCACCCACTTGTCCCACGTCTCCTTCTTGACCCGTTCTGGGATCACACGCCAAATGAAGTGAGTGTGGCCATCACGAAGGAGCGCGATGAAGGCGACGTACTGAAGAAGTTGCGTAAGAACTCTTGCTCGAAGTACCTGAAGATCTCTTCCCGCAGGTCTCTGTGCACATGTTGACAAAGGTGTAAGTGGTACAACGGCGTCAGCGCTTGCACTAGACGCTCTGCAGATGCGATTTCACTTCGTACCGGTTGGCCATCACGCGGTGCCACTCCTGGTGGATGAGCAGGCCACGGCCCATCACTTCCTTACCTTCACCGAGGCCCAGCTCTTCCTTGGACAGCGGCTTGCTGTACTTGTCGCGATCCATCTGCGTCGGTGCTTTGGCGCTCGTGTCAGACACGCGAATGAACGGCATGCACGTTCGTCCTTGTGTTCGTAGTGAGGGTACCTTTTGCGAGCGGAACATACTTGAGCGTATCGATCGCAATGACGCATGTATGTCCACCCTTGTCGAAGAAATCTCGAATGATCTGAGCGGTCGGTTAGCCAGCGTTAATCTCTGTGCAAAACCTTGAAAAGGGGAGGCAAGAAAGAAGGTACCTTGAAGACGTAGTTGAGAAAGTGCT